TCATTGTCCAGCTCTCACATGCATATGAGGCGATTGGAAATATCATGGCTTGTGTCAGGCACACCTTAGTCCTCAAGGAGACATCCTTGCTCCTCAGCACTGGAAACAGTTTCCTTCGCAGTTGACCTTCCCAGTGTTATATATCGTCTGATGTCCTGACTGCTGCTTCCATTGCCATCGATTATAGAACCAAGCAACATGAATTCCTTGACAACCTCAATCTTTTCCCCATTTATTGTGATGCTGCTCATTGGTCCAGTTATGAGGATTTTTATTTTCTTTATATTGAAACGTAATCCATACTGCAGACTGTATTCTTCAACCTTCATTAGTAAGTGCCTCAAGTCATCCTCACTTTCAGCAAGCAAAGTTGTATCGTCTGCATATCTCAGGTTGTTAATGATTCTTCCTCCAATCCTGATGCCACGTTTTTCTTCATATAGTGCAGCTTCTCGGCTTATTTGCTCAGCATATAGATTGAATAAGTGTGGGGAAAGGATACAACCCTGACGCACTCCCTTCTTGATTTTAAACCATGTAGCGTTCCCTTGTTCTGTTCAAACGACAGCCTCCTGGTCAAGGTACAGGTTCTCATGAGTACAATCAAGTGTTCGAGAATTCCCATTCTTCTCAATGTTATCCATAATTTGTCATGATCTACACAATCAAATGCCTCTGCAGTCAATAAAACACAAGTAAACATCTTTCTGGTATTCTGTGCCTTGAGCCAAGATCCATCTGACAACAGCTATGATATCCCTTGTTCCACGTCCTCTTCTGAATCCAGCTTGCACCTCTGGAAGTTCTCTGTCAATATACTGCTGCAAACGTTTCTGAATTATCTTCAGTAAGATCTTACTTGCATGTGATATTAATGATATTGTTCTATAATTTCCACAATCTGTGGGATCACCTTTCTTTGGAATGGGTACAAATATGGATCTCTTCTAGTCAATTGGTCAGGTAGCTGTCTTCCAAATCTCTTGGCATAACTGAGTGAGTGCCTCCAATGGGGCATCCGTTTGTTGAAATATCTCAGTGCGTATTCCGTCAATTCCCAGAGCCTTGTTCTTTGCCAATTCTTTCATTGCAGCTTCGACTTCGTCCTTCAGTACCATTGGCTCTAAATCATATGCCACTTCCTGAAATGGATGAAGATTGACCAGTTCTTTTTGGTACAGTGACTCTGTGTATTCCTGCCATCTTCTCTTGATGTTTCCTGCATCATTCAATATTTTGCCCATAGAATCTCTCAATATTGCAACTCGAGGCTTAATTTTTTCTTCAATTCTTTCAGCTTGAGAAATGCTGAGTGTGTTCTTCCCTTTTGGTTTGCAAACTCCAGGTCTTTGCACATTTCATTATAGTAACTGGTTTTGTCTGCTCGAGCTGCTCTGAAATCTTCTGTTCAGCTCTTTTATCTTGTCATTTCTTCCATTTGCTTTAGCTACTCTCTGATCAAGGGCAAGTTTCAGAGTCTCTTCTGTCATCCATTTTGGTCTTCTCTTCTTTTCTCGTCTTTTTAGTGATTTCTTGCTTTCTTAATGGTAATGTTCTTGATATCCTCCCACAATTCTTCTTGTTTTCGGTCATAAGTGTTCAATGAATCAAATCTATTCTTTAGATGGTCTCTAAATTCAGGAAGGATATATTCAAGATCATATTTTGGCTCTCTTGGACTTGTTTTAATTGTCTTTAACTTCAAGTTGAACTTGCATATGAGCAGTTGATGGTCTGTTCCACAATCAGCTCCTGGCCTGGTTTTGGCTGAAGATACTGAGCTTTTCCACCGCATCTTGCCACAGATGTAGTCAATCTGATTCCTGTGTTCCATCTGGTGAAGTCCATGTGTAGAGCCGCCATTTGTGTTGTTGAAAAAAGGTGTTTGCAAAGAATAAGTCATTGATCTTGCAAAATTCTACCAAGCAAGTTCCAGCATTATTTGTCATCAAGGCCAAATTTTCCAACTACCGGTGATTCTTCTTTGTTTCCAATGGGTTCACAATGGCTCTCAGCCAAGGCAAATGGTTTACAATGGATTGCCCTATCTTCCTGACCTAACACCATTGAAAACATGAACACTGTGATTCTTATAACCCCAGTATGCAATCACAGAGCCAGCACACATAAATTATGTGATCAATGATGTACAACCCCTCAAAAAACATGCACAGTGCTGAATTACATTTGCAATAAAAATTTTGCTGGCAGTTCAAACCCACTACCCACTCCTCGGAAGGAAGACTGGGCAACCTATTTCCGTAGTGATACTGCCTCAGAAACCCAAGCAGGGGTCGCTATGAGTCGGGGCTGACTCGACGGCATATAACAACAAAGAAAATTCCAGTATCTGGTTTTGATTAGCTACAGCAAGTAAGTGGATTCACGTGGTCAGAGAGCCTCATTACTTCCTCCAACATACCCCCTTTTCCATTTCCCCATCAGCCATTTGGAACCCACCACCCCTCTACTTCTAGCCAGGACCAGAGCTACTCCCACTCAGGGGGCTCACCCTTTACCGCCCCTCCATGCAAGCTGGGAAAAGTAAGCCGAGTGCAAGTCACCATGATCCTTTTTTAAAAAATCACACAAAAATTTGTAAGACATAAACATCTGAGATTGAGATATACATTTGGAAAACACATTAGAGCCTCATCATCAAGGTTTAGAAAGCCAGTTTAAAACAGCCACGCCTTCAATGGTGGTAACTAAGTCTCCTTATGGAAGTCTACTTTTTGTCTTACCAATTTAAAGAAGTAAGTATTACACAACTTAAGCAACTTAATTTCATAAATAGCCAGTTTTATTTTGTATACACACCAGTGTTGTAAACTCTATGTTCACTAATCCCTTGCTGACAAAATGTTATTGTTTCTTGATGAGAACAAAACTGAAACTTCCCTCAATAAGAGTTTCTATTGTCATAATATGGGAAGAAGTATCTTAAAGTATTCATCAGAGGACAATTTATTTGTTTGGGAAGTACAAAGACATCCCACAAAGGGCAAAGGAAAGCAGGATCAGTTGCAGTACCAGTTTTCTAATGGCTGCTGATATTGTCTTTTAAACACTGTGATGTTATTAGGCTGTAGGTCATCTTCTCCAATGAGTTTGGAAAACCAAAAGAAGCCAGTTGTTCTAGAGAATTTGTAAAGTCTCTTTAAAACAATTACCAACTGAGAAAAGAAACACTCTTCTTGAAAAATACTATCAAGAAAACTAGGGGATGTTTTTTCAATTGGTATTTTTCAGGGAAGTTTTTTTCTTTTTTTTTACCCCTTGACTTTATGCCACAGAGGTGTCTTCTCTGACCTCTCGTTTCACTTGCTGCATGAGGCTGGCTAATTCTCCTCCACCCTGCTTATGACCAACAGCTGCCTGGATGTATGCTAGAGCCCCACAGCAAGTCCCTCTCCTTGGAAAATGAAACAAGTGAAACAATTCCTTGCTGGCACAGCCTCCTGACTGCCAAGGAAGGGTTTCACAATGACTTTAATGGAGATAGCAAGTTTCCAATGAAAGAACTGTTTTGACCATTAGATAGGAGTTATTGCATCCCAGATTTAAAACCAAGAAAAAACATTCATGTTTTGCTAATTTTTCAATTTTATTTCCAACTACTGCAGTAACAAAATACCACTGGTTGTCCTGCATGTAAACTGGCAGGCAACCTTTCACGTAAACAAGGTCACAAATCAGTATCTCAACAGTACCGTGGTCTATGGAGATTCTGATAGGCGACGATTACCACAATCAGTACTGGAACATTACAGAGCTATGCTTCTTTGATATCTAGTAATAAAAATATTCATCTTGCCTCAATGATTCATCATGTACACATTCTACTTTTTAGAAACACTATCCTTTCAGGTTGCACTATGGTGAGGTGAATCCTTTCCACTCATAGGTTTTTCTATGCTATACAGAAGTAACAGTCATTCCCATAGTAATGCACAATATTACTAAGTATTTAGTTGAAAACTGTAAAATGGATTGCCCTATTTATGTCCTTTCTCTGGGAATAAAAAGACACAAACCACTACAAACATCAAATGAGTCAAACTTCTATTTTATTGGCAGGAGTCCAAAATGAATACAAAAAAATGTCTCCTTTGCATGTTATTTTTTTTTCCTTAAAAGGAGCCTGATAAGAGTCTGGTAGATTGAAAGCTAAGAATGTATTTCCGCTTTTATAGTGAACCTTTTTCAGAAGGCTTAATAATATAGTCACCAACATTAGAGAATATATGGTCCCACAATCATTTTCAGACTGACAGCCTATCAAAAGAATTAGACCCTGCAGGGATCTGCTAAAATAGAGGCTTAAAAATGTTTTAAGCCCCTAAAAGCCATTCTTATAATCTGTATGATAACTCTGGGCAATTAAGAAAGGAAAATACCAAAATGTAGCCCTCTGTATTCTGTGGAAAGTGAAAGAATGCCAACTTATGACCAAGACAGGTAAAAAATAAAAGGGTTACAGTCACAGATGGAGCTGTTATAAATATTCTTGGATTATGGCAAAATGTCAAAAAATGAATAAGAGAGCTTATCAATAGGTTAAAACTTGAGCCAGATGTTACTTAAAACATATTTGTAGTGTTTATCAGACTTTACTGTTTGCTAAAACTAAAGCTGAATGAAGAAAAGTTGCTTGTTTTTAAGTTGCTTTTCATGTACCTTTACTTTTACTGGGACCATAAATTGATCAGATAATACATAACCTACACTTCTGGAGAGTTATAACAAAGGATTTATTATCATTTGCAGATGAAACAAATGCACCATCCCATACTTTAAAGGCTTTAATGAGCCTTGAACACTTCTGAGGTTGTACCAAGGCACCACCACTGCCTAGTTATATTATGCATCCAATTCTAGTAAAGAAACTAACACTTTCCTCAACATCAGTTCGGCACTGCTTCTGGTTTATTATACACTTCCAAGACAGCAAAAATTTGCAAATATGTGCAAATACTGTGGTCCATTCTGAGTACTGCTTAGTCATCATCTTCCTCTTCCTCCTCTTCTTCCTCAAAGCTGTCTTCAAAGCCCTCGCTGTCCTCCTGGTCTTCATCCCCCTCTATTGCTGTATCCCACTGGGGATGATTTTCTGGCACAGGCTTAGCCTCATGAACTTCCAACTATAAAGAAGGATTGAATGTAGACATCAGAAACTTAGGGAGGAATAATGGTAAATAAAAGGTTTTCTTTGACCACAGAAATCACAAAGACACAGACTGTTATGGATGTGACTCTAATTTAATATATTCATTTTTAGAAGAGACATTGCATTCCAGAAATGTAACAGATAAATCTATTAACATGTAAATGTAGATAAATTTTTAATAGCGTTTGATATTTTGATTTTATAGAAGTTATGTCATTTAGGAATATGTATTACGTGACACAAAAACATTAATTCTGATTCTTGAGCAAGAACCCTGTGTATAACTTTTGCTGAGAGAAGAAAAACTCAAGTGGGACTTTTAGAAAGAGAGTCACCCTCCACCCTCCAGACTCAAGAAGTAAAAAAACGCTATAGCCAATGAACAGAAATATGGTATCCCCATGGAAAAAAAGACTGGCTCCCTTTACTCTGAAACTCCAGTACACACTCCAACAATGTATTAACTCAATCTCAGCAGCATATTAAAAAATATGCTCTGCAGCATAACTGACAAATTCATTGACAGAAACATTCAAGTGAAAGGGTGAATACTGATGGGAGTATGCTACAAATGATACTTAAGAAAGCACATGCAGGAAGATAACAAAAAACACATTTGTTCCAGAAATTAATAAATACTCCAACAGAAGCTGCAGGAAAAATACATGTGCTTTTCTAAAGCAAACAGAATTCATGCTGAGAGGTGTAAACCTATGGCATGTCACAGCACATTACATTTAAAGAATTTCTATACAAGGTTCTAAATCTTTACCCTCCTTAAACTCTAACTCAAGAGCCTTAGTCTATTATTAAAAGAGTAGCCCACCAAGCATATAATTTTTAAACTATTAGATGATTTCCTTTTCCTTCTATGACTCTACGTTTCAAAACTAGAGATGCTTCCCTAGTACAGTAAGCACTTACTCAAACAGACAACCACTTATTGAAGAATCTCTATGCTTACCTTCAATGGCTTAATCTGGTCCAAACCCATATAGGAGTCTGATCTCAGAAACACTGTGTACTGATAATTGCCAGGCTTGCCTGGTGCAGGGAATTTCAATTCTACCTAGAAGATAAAGTCAGTACTTGAGATTTGTATTTTAAGGACATGAAAGAAGAAAAATTCCAAGAACAAATTACTTAACAGCTAGGTCTTTCCTCAGATGATACAGGGAGTCCTAACAAATGTTACATAGTCATAAACCAATCCTCCCCAAAAAAGGTAGCATAGTGGCTAAGGCACTTGACTGCTAACCAGAAGGCTGGCGGTTCAAACCCACCAGCCAATCCTCAGAAGGAAGATGGGGCAATCTATTCCCATAGTGATACTTCCTCGGAAACCCAAGAAGGGGTCACTGTAAGTCGGGTCTGACTCGACAGCACGTAACAACAACTAACAACAAAAATATATAAATAAATTAGATGTTGGAATAAAAGAACAGAAGATAATAATTCACAAGACAGCAGATGAATTATGGCTAAATTTTCTCATTTCTAAGATAAGCCTGATGCCTTAAAAAGGCAAGATATTTTATTTCCCATCAAATCATAAACTTCAAAGAGTAACAAACTCTTAGGCAATTCCTTGATATAATCCCACTTAGACAAAGGAAGAATCAATTTAGAAAAATCACATTTGATGTTCTGGTATCTGCCGCCAATCTCTAAATTCAGATTTTGTAGTAAAGATTTTATATGGACATATGACAGCAAAAAAACAAAACCAAAAGAAAACCTAGAAGAAATTATAGGAAAATCTTTTTATTTATTGAAATGAGTTCATAGTTTGGCCTTTCTAACTATAGCCCAAAACCTAGAAGCCATCAAATAAAAGATTAAAAAATCACACTACATAAAATAAACAGAAGTATTTGTATTTCTGACTAGTAAAAAGTCACCTTAATAATAGTAAAATAAACTAGGGAGAAACATTTGCAACTTGCATCACAAAGGGCTGATTTCCTAAAATAAGAAACAGAAATATGACTTATACAATACCTAAAGATGTTCAGTTTCACTTTTAAGAGAAATACAAAATTAAAACTACACTGAATACAACTTGTTGTTGCTGTTGTTGTTATGTGCCATCGAGTCAGACCCGACTCATAGCGACCCCTCCTTGGGTTTCCGAGGCAGTATCACTACAGAAGTAGATTGCCCCATCTTCCTTTCAAGGAGTGCCTGGTGGGTTTGAACCCACCAGCCACTCCTCTCCTGAATACAACTAGCACCATAAAAATTGACACAGGTAAGAAAATATGCTAAAATGATTAGGAAAGACTGCTGGACAATAGGATATTCACACAATGCTCAAATATCATCCCACAGATTAGATAGGAGAAAATGCCTTTACAATACATAAAAGTCTACCTCAATGATAAATGTTAGCATCAACAGTGCAGGGCAAACCTGACAACAACTGCCCCAATGTGCTACTCTAAAAACACATCGTACATGTAGTATTCTCGCCAAAAATATTTAAGACAAATATAATTATGAGTAACCAATGGGACAAATTCAAACAGAGGGATATTCTGTAAAATACCTGGCCTGGACTCTTCAAAATGACAATGACAGGAAAGATGGAAAAAGAAAAAGGTAAAGAACGTTCAAGACCAAAAAGAGGCACGACCACTAATTGCAATGCATGACCCTTGATTAGATCCTGAATTTAAAAATAAACAAATAAAGTGTACATGAGTGGCATATTTGGGGAATTTGAAAATGGACTGCATATTAGATAATAATACCACATCTATGTTAAATTTCCCAAGTATGATATTGTGCTTATGTAAAAGGCCCTTAGGAAATACATGCTCAATTATTTAGGGGCATAATGTCATAGGGAAGTGCTAAATAAATAACAGCATACACACACAAAAGAAAAAGCATGCAGCTGTAAAAGCAAATAAGGAAGTTTTTTTAATGTACTATCATGGAACAAAGTCCACGTTATGTTACTAAGAGAAAGAGTTAAAGTACGGAACAGAGTATATACTACCTTTTGTGTAAACAGGGAAAATACACATACGTAGTTGCTTGTAATTTTCATACACTATAATATGAAGGGGGGAGCTCTGGTAGCATAGTGCCTAAGGCACTTGACTGCTAACCAGAAGGATGGTGGTGCAAACCCACCAGCCACTCCTCGGAAGGAAGATGGGGCAATCTACTTCCGTAGTGATACTTCCTATAACAACAACAACATAATATGAAGGATACATACAAATTTGATAATATTTATGGTCTCCAAAAGGTGAATGGGTGACCAAGAAATGATGTGTAAGATTTTCCACTATATGCACTTTTGCATCTTTTGAAATTTTAAACAAGATGAATTTATTATTTATTCAAAATTATGTGAAATGTTAAATAAAATTACTCTGTCAAAGAAATACCCTTATGCTGGCTTTTAGTGTCAAATAAACAATATTAAATTACTTCATGTTTACCACTTGATTATGAAAGGGGGAAAAAAAATACAATTTCTTTGATTGAAAATAAACATCATATAACTATCTTGAAATTCAAAAGCTTTTTGTCCACAAAGTCTAGGCAGACACACACACACACTCCCACCCCCCAAAAAAAAACAAGAAGAAAAGGCAAAAAATAGAAAGCAATTTCCAAGAGTAGAATACGTTGATCACAACTCACAACGTTACATCAGTGATGTCATTAATAGCAGGCAATACCATGCAACCAAAAATTCCACTGAAAAAATCTAAACCATCAGTTCTTAGGTTTTTTTCTAAGATAAACAACGTAATATTTATCACTAATCCAATGAGAAGAAATAACATAAATTGCTAAATTCCAGAGAGAAGAAAAAGCACCTGTTCTTAGGCACTAACAAGTGAAAAATCCCCAAAATATACTGAGAACAAGTTATTAAAAGGCTGATCAAGTCACTTACCTTTAATAAATACTTTATAAATTTCCAATAAGCAACCCCCCTCCCAAATTAGAGAACAGATAGATATAAAATATCCTAACAAATAAAATGTAATCAAACAAACATGGGAAAGTGATTTGTAAAAAAGATTTTACAAAGGATCATGATGGTGAAATGCTGTACGTTTTTATAAACAGAAATAATATTGTTGAATAATTACCTCTTCGGTATCTTTTAGTGTACACACATGATAGGGCATAGATATTAATGTCTGTTCCTTCCTGTCTGCAATATAAAGCCACCACCATTCTTGTTTTTCCTGGGAAGGAAAATTAAAAAAAAAAAAAAGTTAAAAATAATCAGAAAGAACTGGTGAAGCACAGTTTTGGCTTGTCTTACTTTAAGGATACAATAAACACTGTTTACTGATTTTTGCTTAGCACTGATACACTACCTGACATAATAAATACTCAGTGAATAAATAAATCGTACTTAACTATCTATAGATCTGCTCCTCAAAAGAACTTTGTACACAGTGTTAGGGGTTTCAATGGCCCCTGAAGGCATATTGATGGGCCTTCATATTAAAATCCAATGATTACCTTAATTAGTAGCATATTCTAATAAAGAAAACCATATAAACTGTTAATATATCATCTAGCAAATAAATCATCTTAGTAATATTACCTAGTAATAAGCAAAGCCCGAAAGTTGAGTGAAAGGACCTGAGAAGCCAAATCAAAACTCAATACATTAAAACACTTTATTCATAAACAAGTATCTCAGATTCTAAAAACCTATCTATACCTTTCACTGCACATGACATTAGTAAGCTTGTCATTTCTAGTTTTAGTTCACAAAAGATTAAAAACAGAAAAAGGAGCTGAGCAAAACAATGGCCACCAGAATGCAGAATGACAGCAGAGAGAAGTGACAGAACAACAGAAAAAAACTATAGAAATAAATATATATATATATATTTAGAAGGCCAAGTTCCTGGAAGCATCGAGCCCCAGGGTGCTCAGAGCCCAACACTGTTTAACAGCACAAACCAGTAATTGTTTAGTTGTCTGTTTATATCTTCTGCTTAAGAAATGGAGTAGGGAAGGTATCTTTCTAAAATGGCTTAAAGAAAAATATTTTGGAGCTAAAAATAACATAAGCTCCAGGATATTCTAAATACACAGCTAGGTAAACAATACTAGAGTATATTAAATTCTCAATTATCCAATTGAAGGTTAATTTTTTTAAAAACTGGAAAGTTTCATAGGGACAATGTGTTTTAAACCAAAATCTATACTTTCTATTTTATTTTAACCATAAAAGGTTAAAAGTTTCATTATCTTTCTGATAATGTTACACTAAATGCAATTAAAGCTCTTTGGTTTAAATACCTTACATTATGAAGGTATTTTGTACCTTCGTATGTAAAGCCTAACAAATAAATAATAAATGCAGGATGATGTGACTGTGAGAGCAGCACTGAACAAGAAAATTTAAATTCTGTTTAACTCTTAGATTAACCCAAGCGTTAAAACTACCACAATGGGTATATCTGTGTATATACGTTTGCTCATGTAAGTATTTGTGCACACATACAAGTGTATAAAATATGTTGTTTTTGTTGTTGTTAGATGCTGTCGAGTCATCTACGACTCACAACCCTATGCACAGCAAAATGAACCACCACCTGGTCCTGAGCCAGCTCTACGATTCTCGCTGTACTTGAGCCCATTGCTGCTGTCACCGTGTGACATCCATCTCGTTGAGGGCCTTCCCCTCTTTTGTCAACTCTCCACCTTACCAAGCAAGACATCTTGACAGAAATACACAATAAATGGGATGGCCTTATCAAACAGGAGTTTATTCTCTCACAGTTTGGAGGCTTTAAGTCTAAGTTCAAAGTGCCAGGATCTAGGGGCTGGGTAAAAGCCCCTCAACGTTGGGGTCCAGCTCTGCCTCCTGTTCCTGGCCCACCGGAGCTAGAGGCGTTTTTTCACTCAGATAGCTGCTGAGGCTGACAAACCCAAGGTTGACAAGTAAAAAGGCACAGTCCCAATGTTACCAAACCACATGGCAGGCCATTAATTTAAGTCCACTGTAAGTCCCAAAGTCGGCAGAGTATGGCAGGCTATTGAACAATGACACGGCTACATGCAGGGTCCAAGCATGTCATAAGCTAGAGACCATTCCCCAAAGCTTCTCCTTATATACAGGAAGCAGACCACATCCCTAGGGCAGCTACACAGCTGCTCACAGTAGATTCCACCATGGAGATGATTACCAGTCTCATCATGGGGAATACTATATCCAGCTGCCCAGCCATTCAACCAGGCCCAGCCAAGTTGACACACAAACTAAACTACCAATCTGCTACTCCATCTCATGCCGGCCTCTTTTACCAATTAATGCCTGGAGGCAACCCACTCCACCAGGAAGCCACCTACCCAATGGCACCTGGCTTTCTCTTCTGTGGGCTAGTAAGACAACCTTCTCCAGGGAACGGTCCCCTCTGACAACATGACCAAAGTAGGTGAGATGAAGTCTAGGCATTCTTGCGTCCAAGGAGCATTCTGGCTGCACTTCCTCCAGCACAGATCTGTTAAGTTCTTTTAGCAGTCCACGGTACTTTCAGCATTCTCCGCTAACACCACAGCTCAAAAGCATCAACTCTTCTTCGGTCTTCCTTATTCACTGTCCAGCTCTCACATGCATATGAGGCAACTGAAAATACCATGGCTTGTGTCAGGTGCACCTTAGTCTTCAAGGAGACATCTTTGCTCTTCAGCACTTGAAAAAGGTCCTTTGCAGCCAATTTGCCCAGTGCTATAATGTCATCTGATGCCCTGACTGCTGCTTCCATTGGTGTCAATTGTAGAACCAAGAAATGTGAAGTCTGACAATTTCAATCTTTTCTCCATTTATCATAATGTTGCTTATAAGGACCAGTTGTGAGGATTTTTGTTTTCTTGAGATGTAATCCATACTGCAGACTGTATTCTTCAATCTTCATCAGTAAGTGCCTCAAGTCATCCTCACTTTCAGCAAG